CACTTCTTCTCTGTTTGTAAGAATTAAGTCCAGTATGGCTGTCCCTCGTTTCACCCTCTACCTTTTGGACAACAAAATTGTCAGCTAGGTTGGTTAGGAACTTATTTGATTTCTCACTTGGTGCAGAATTAGTTTTCCAATTGATATCAGGATAATTGAAGTCTCCCATTACTATTGTTGTGTGTTTCTTGCATAATCACAGAGGGTTTCACATGTTTAATGAGTGATGTGTATTTAGGGAGTAAAAAACAATGGGAGTTCAGACTGTCCCAGGTGGGGGAGAGAGAAGACTCTGTATGCATCTTCAACATTAGTGTAGACATGATCCAGTGTTTTATCCCCCTTTGTATAAGAAGAGATATTCTGATGAAATTTAGGGAGTACTGTTCTCAAGTTAGAGTGGTTAAAATCACCCCCAACAATGAAAGCTTTTATGACCTTTCTTGCCACAGTTAAGCGAATCACTGCCGTTATGTTAGTAACATGGTTGTTAAGTGAATCTAGTTTCCCCATTGACTTTGCTTGTCAGAAGATTGCAAAAGGGGACATGACCCTAGGAGACAGCAACCATCATAAATATGAGTCAGTTGCCAGGCCTCTGAATTTTGATCACGTGATCACGGGAATGCTGCAGTGGTTATGTGAAAAATGGTCATAAGTCACTCTTTTCAGTGCGGTTGTAACTTTGAATGGTCACTAAATGAACTGTTGTAAGTCAAGGACTACCTGTAATTTAGAAATAAATCTTGTTCAAGGATTGGCAATGGTAGAACAGAAACATGGACTAAAGGCACACATTGAACAACATGCATTAACATGCTAGTAGAATTATCATTTCATTAATGCATTTATGTAGATAAGGTCTTACTTCAACCATAACAGGACACTCTTTAAGAAGCAAAAGATATTTGCATTATAAACTGGAGGAAACATTGCCAGTAATAACTTATGAATATCTGTCATGCCCCTGTTGGAGTCTAATTCTGAGGGAGAGATGGAACAGCTGACAGGGAGTGGGAGTGTGGCTCCGGTGGTTGTGGAGGAAACTGGGGAAGGGCACAGGCCAGATGGGCATTCAGAGGAAGACCCAGGCCCATCCCCTCTTCATCCTAGGGCACACAGGGAGGAGCGGATAAGGGAGAAATGTGAGTGGCGTGGTCTACGAGGAGGAAGGGGGCCTGATCCCCTTCATGAGCTGCAGCTGGGAGGACTGTTTAAAAGGACAAACTGCGCATGGCAAAGTTGCAAGAAGCAAAGCGTGCATTCTTGTCGGAGCTTATCTGTGTTTTGGCTTCCTCCCAACTGTGGTTGCTGTGTTATCTGGTAGAAGTCTACAATTAATCATCCTTGCCTGCAGTAGTAATTCCTTCAGTGTGGTTTGTGTTGGGTTTTTTATTTTGAATTAACTTTACTTTGGGTGCAGACTGCATTTACTCCCTCCGTAAACTGTTTTTTTAAAGTTTGATATCCACCTGAAGATAATTGAACATTGGAGCCAAGTTGGAGGCATTAAAGGGACTTTCTTCTATTTTTGTGACTGGGTTATTTTTGTGTAACACCCCGGATCACAATATCAGTCTGGAAGTTTATCATGCTCCAAACTAATACTTGAGAACATGCCATAAATAACCTAGAGAAAAAGCGATGACAAATGTTTGAGTATGGCGTACTGGCATAGAGAATGGCAGGTTTCCAAACCCAAATAGCAAGTGCATCACTACATTAACTAAAATGGGCATGTTACACGTACCTCCAGAGCTTGGCGTAGGAACGTCCTCTTTTCCAATTTGGCCCATTCAATGCATTCAAGACAAAGTTCAACCTAACAGAAAAACTACATTCAATTATTTTTCTCCTATTTGTATCTTCACTGCTGTCATATCATTTTCGACATAAGCTGGCTCTGAATGTTTTACAAGAGGACTTTTCAGAAACAGCTGCCAACATTTTGAATTTGAAGTAGCATGCCTGTGCCTGAATTTCAGTTGTCTCACCTCTTGTCCTGTTGCAGCTTCCATGTCTAGGAATAGGTCTAGCAGGGACCGAACCAGACGGGCTGCCTTTGCCTTGCTAATGGAGTTCAAGAAAGGACGAACATACTTCAGAAGTCCTCCAAGCTCTGTATTGACAATAAAATAATCAAGTAGCAATATAGCTCAGGATATGAAATTGCATCATAATGCATTATAAAAGGTTATGGTCATATTCTAGAAAAAGTGATCACATAGTTCTTAATTTCAGCAGTCAGTTATCTGAGACAGAAAAGGCATATTCATATAAACTAATTCTGATTTCCATTACATGTTTATTATAGGGGTCTTTCCCAAATGTGTAACTGAAATATGTCACTTTGCCTAATTGTTTCTCAACATTACTATTTCCTCCAGTTCTGTGAAATGTTTATTTCCTCAATTTATATGGCCACCCATTTACCAGGTGACTCTGGGCGACTAACACCACCATCAATATTCAAGAATAAAATCATCATGCAAAACACTGTGAAACAAATGGCTTATAAAACGTATTACACAGTAAGCTTCAATAAAAAAGAAAAAATTAATAGTCCACTGAACACGTAGGGAGAAGTATAAAGTCTAATCCATTAACTCTAAAACCCTCATAGAAAAAAGGTTCAAAATCTGTAGTAAACTTATCTATCAGGCCATAGTGTTTTCTTTATGTCCAAAACAGCACTAAAACTCTGAACATGAGCTTCACTGATTCTCACTCTAACCTTCATAGCCATACCTCACCTTTGCTCAACAATCTCTAGCCAACAGCAGCACAAATAGAACCTCTGCCACCTCTGTTTTATGGTTATTATTATGTATTTCAAGTCTTGAGAAATGTAAGAATGATAATCCAATATATTTGGAGATAGGAAAGCCTGTCTTAAAATGTATGCGGGATCTGGAAAAGTATATGAACACAATATTTGTACCCTTATTTGTCAAGGGCAAACTAGATATAAACTTAATTGTATAATTGGTCTATACACATTTACCGTATTTGCCGGCGTATAAGACGACCCGGCGTATAAGACGACCCCCCACCACCACCAGAAACGCCCTCCAGAAATCCCCGGGGCTGCAGCGGCAGGGCGGAGTGCCAGGGGCCGTGGGAAGAGCAGGAAGGCTGCAGCCTCGGGCGGAGCGAGGCGAGCGGGATGAAGCGGAAGCGACGCAGGGGATCCGGGAAGCCAGAGGCGCCTTCGCTGCGTCCAACAAGCATCCGAAAGCCGGCAGTGGATATACCGGCGTATAAGACGACCCCCCCACTTGGAGGCATGTTTTTCGGGGCAAAAAAGTCGTCTTATACGCCGGCAAATACGGTAGTTCTTGAATAAATAGCTTCTGGGAAAGATCTGGATTGGTATCATGAGGAACAAAGACTCATCCTCTCTCTATGCCAGAACTGTCACTTTGTAAAAGAAACTATAAACATAGAAAGCCAACCAATTTACATTGTTTTGTTATTTAACCCTTATTTTGCTATAAGTTGCTTAGAACCATTTGAAATGAAATACTAGTAGTAAATAAATATTATAATTAACATTTTATATAGTTTGGCCCTGAAGTATGACAGTGTTTAATAATTATGAATACTTTAAGTCTTCCTCAGAAACAGATAATAAAGCTTATGTCAAACCACAAAAAAACAGACAGGGAAGTTAATTTTCCACAAGCTACATTTTCTAATGACTAGGTCACAAAATGGTTTGTTTGGGCTTAGAATGCAGTGTGAACCAAGTTAGTGTTTATAGTTTATGGCTTTATGAGATGTGTGAAGCCAGCCATAGTTAAATCACAATTTAACATGGAGAAACTGTGGTGGGAAAACAAAGAGGTTTAAACAGGATTATTTGATCAAGATCAATTTCAAATCACTGGTAGAAAAGGAGAAAATCTCCCACTCGAGTATTTATTCCAGTTTTAGAAATACTGCTATTAAATTGCTTAAAAATAGAATTTACCTTCTGCCTGTCCTGTCTTGGCCAAAAGACTCCCAAGTTCCAGAATGCTCTGTTCTTTGACTTGGACTGCTTCTTCATCATTCTCTTGAACATCACGTTTCACTGTGAAGATAAACATTTTAATAAAAGAGTATATTTCAAATGAAAGACTGTTTACAATTCTCTCAAACTTCCATTTTAAATTTAACTTGCTTCTTATAAGGCAAAAATACCTGCCTGACAAATTATTCATTGTCTTGAACAAGGAGCAGAAAGATCCGCATCATGAGGCAGCTCATAAAATAGAATATTTATACAGTATTTGATGTCAGCCCATTTGGTATTAATACTTACATCAGCATAAATATGGCTGCAACTATGAAATTAATCTTCACTCTCGAATGTGTTACTACTGTAAATAAGACAATGCATACAAAATTTTCCAACACTAAAAACAGGTATGCCACCAGTGCTAATTTTCATGAACAGGTACAAAACCACTGTTATTCAGAGAAGCCAAAACAGTAAGCTTGTTTCTTACAGTACCTGCACAGTGCAGCAGCTAACATTTAAGGCATGAATGAAATACAAACTTTTTGCTTGTGAGATCATCCAATTATCTTTACCAATACTAAGGATAAATATCATATACTGACCAGAAATAAAAAAATACACATCCCCACTATAATCTATTATTGCTTACAAAAGGTTAATTGGCAGAATCATTCATTCCATCCTAATTTATCTTTCCATCCTGGGACAACTGATAATGGAAAGAACAGCATAACTGTCACCTATGATGGATTGCACTTAAAATTATAGAACTATAGGAAAAATAAAATGCTATGTGGGTGACCTAAAATAATCTTAATGACAACAGGAGCTGTTCTCAGGACACAACAGTTCCCAATAGCAAAGTTACTGAGCAAAATTAATACTTTGTTTCCTATTTTCAGAATAATCAGAATATCATAAAATTTATTTTGTCCTAAGGCAAACACTCATTGTCAAGCACAGCACAGATGCATAGGAACCAATTCCCTGAATCAATCTTGTCTTCATAAGTTCTAGTAACTAACACCAGCATTCACCTAACACTGCAAGAGCAGGGAACCTTCTGTGGACAATGAAGGTGGAAGCAAGTTGCCCTTGGTGGTGTACTCATTTCTTTGCTGCTAGCAATCTCACAAAAAGTAAAAAACCTCTACAGCAGGTGTCCTGTACTCATATTTGTCTGAGCGAGGATGTTGTCTTACTGGCTGCTGTTACCAACTAACGTGTTCTACAGAAAATCAACTGGAATGTGATATAAATTGTATGAACTATATTAAGATGTGTAAGAGTATGTGCACAGAAGAAAAAAGGGTAGTTAATTACACTCATTTTACAGAAAATTGGATTGTCTCTTACCTCCCAATTTGGAAACCTACCCTTTCTGCAATGTGTTTAGAATTACATAATTAATTCAACCAAATTCTTTTTAGATAGGAACAAGGACAGTCCTAAAATAGGAACAAAAGCTTATTTAAAATCTAGTAGTTAACCATATGCCCTCATGAAGCCCATTAATGGGCATAAGGATAGTAGCCATCTTGTTTAATAACAGCAGCTGACATTTCTACATAACATATTTACCTATGTGGACGTACAGTAGACTTCTGGAACATGAATGTGCTCTAACCAGCAATACCCTCACACAGAAAAGGAAATGTCAGGAACATTCAAAGTGTGCTCCACCAACAACTTTATTCATGCTGCTTTACCATTTTTTCTATATCCAATTTCTGTATTAGCACTTTTTAGATCCATCACTTACTCCTCACATTACCACTCCTAGTGCCATGCCTTGACCATAACATTCTGTCTCCCTAAAAAGTCCACTTCTATTGCAGAGCATGTTTCCCCTTTTACTCTCTGTAGCAGAGCAGTCTTATCAAGCATACTATTAGCTAACAAGAAAATCCCAACTAAAAATGAATCAATAAAACATCCAGATATACTAATTTACACTTGTAAATAGTCTTTTCTACAATCAACAAGTGAAATGTTTCATGACATGTAAAATGCATTACCATGTACTGCTACTTGCCTGTCAAAATTAATGCTAAAAATACTGAATGAACATATTAAACAACTGGTAAAGCAAATGCAATGTACTCCCTTACATATTCACTGTGACCAAGAATCCACTCTCCATTCCCATTAGATCAACCTATATTTCAAAAACCCTCCAACTGATCATCAGCCTCATACACATTTCTTTGCCCTCTGTATACAATCGTCTGCTCGTTAGTGTCAGAGAAAGTTGTTTTTGAGTGGAGATTCAAGAGTGAAGCAGGCCTGACAGTCCTCTTAGGAAGTCAGATTAACCTAACTAGGTCAGGGCAAAGGCTAGAAAGTAGGTGAAAAGCGGCAGCAGAATCCATTCCTAGCGAACAAATCTGCCCGCTTAGCTTCTAATCCTCAGACCACCCCTTCTGAATAAAAGCCAATGACAGATCAGAGAGCCCGCTTGGTGCTTTGAGGCCACCTGTTAGCCTCAACCCTCCCCTCAATCCCAGCATTTGTCTTCCAATCCCGACTTGCTTTCTCTATTTCCATGAAGCGATGCTGAATAACCCACTGAGCCTTCCCATTTCCAAATTCCTTTCTTAGCAGCTCCCGTTTTCCTTCGAAATTGCTCAGTGAGTCAGCAGTGGATCCAATTCAACCCGTCCAGGCCCATCATCAATTTCGTTGCACTATTGGCAGCCAGGTCATCTGCCAGTTTTCCACGTTTCGGCGGGCCCAACTCACCTATGGAGTGCAAAATGCCGATTGAGGCCTCGCGATCAGTGCTTAGCAAAGATTGGGCGCGCTGAAACTCCAAACCCGCCGCAGCCGCCATCTTAAGAGAAACGCCGGCCGGAACCACAGAGCCTTATTTTAACCGGAAACTGTCTCACTTCCTCCCCTTCGACTTTGCTGCATCAAGCTACAATAATATAACGCAGCAGCGTTGGCTGGGAAATGTAGTCTTTTATGAACATCATAGGAATCAAGTGGGTGGGTTGCTAATGAAGCAATGAAAGCGGAGTGTTAGGAGTCCTAACTACGCCCTACGCTAACTCACCATCATACAAGTTCGTAGAATACGTAGATTGTACACACAAACACTTCCAACTGGGGACCGAAAATGATCTAGATGTTTACTCATTTTATAATGGTTATAGGTTATAACCAATGGTTAGTGCCAAACCCAGAGGAGGCATGCGGCAGGCCCCATTGGCCAGGGCAGGGGTCACCAACCTTTTGGACCTCGGGGACCACCAAACTGATAATTTTAAATCCCAGAGACCACTAACCAGTTCTGTGGGCGTGGCCAAATTTGTGGGTGTGGCTTGGTGGTCATGTGATTGCCTGGGCATGGCTTGTATGTAAATATTATAAATATTTATATAAATATTGAATTTTTTATTAAAAAACAAGTTTTACCCAAAATCAGGCAAAGCAGTCAGGCAGATTGAGTTACTCACAGAATCATTCGTTGATCTATCTATCTGCCATCAGCTACCTGAGTCTGTCACATAAAATTTGCTTGCCATGAGTCTGCATTGAATAATAGAACCTTCAGTCCTAAGGGACTGATCTAAAGACTAGCTAGAAAGCAAGAAATCCAACCATTTCTTGCTTCCTAGCTAATCTAAATCTCCCGGCACAGCAGAACAGGTGATGGTCAGAAAAAGAAAAAATAGCAACTTAGCAGGCAAGTTTGCAGGGTAAGGAGTGAGTGGGCGGTACAGCCTTGTGTTTCTGCACAGCCTGGATTAATTGCTTTGTGGGGTGCTCTGGGGTTGACATTTCTCTGCAGCCCACCAAAATTTTCTCACGGCCCACCAATGGGCCATGGCCCACTGATTGGTGACCACTGAGCTGCTAGATCATCATACACAGCTAGTCCCAACAGTTGTTTTTGTGTCTAATGGGGAAGAGGAAAAAGCTTGACTTAATTATTCCCAAAACACATGATCCATACCAGGAGTGGGATTCAATTTTTTTAACAACTGGTTCTGTAGGCGTGGGTTAGTTGGTGGGTGTGGCCTGGTGGTCATGTGACTGGGTGGGCATGGCCAACTCAACATCACTCATGTGAAGGGGCGCTTCTCCTCGCCTGGCCTCTCATGACAGTGGGGATGCTGCAACGGTCATAAGTGTGAAAAATGTCATGCCCCTGGTGGAGACTGACTCTGAGGAAGAGGAGGAACAGCCAACAGGGAGTGGGAGTGTGGCACCAGAGGTGGTGGAGGAGGTTGGGGAAGGGCAGAGGCCAGCTGAGCAATCAGAGGAGGATCTAGCCCTTCTAGTTCTTGCTTTGTTTTGAGTTCACCCTCTTCATTTAATATATCGCTATATCTAACTATGTGTTCCATTTTAAAAACAATTGGATATGTGAATACCTCTATAGTTAACAACCAGACTGGTATTATCAAATAATGTTGTTTCCTTATTTTCTCCCATACTGTCAATAATCCATCTCGAATGTAGTGCCTCCTAAAATACCCTTGTGTTTTACTTTTCTTATACCATAAAAATGCATGCCATCCCAGTAGCAAATCATGACCTTCCAACGTTAACAATCTAGTATTCCTCAAAACAATCCATTCTTTCACCCACAATAATGTTGCCGCCTGATAATATAATTCCCAATTGGGTAGTCCAAAGCCTCCTCTTATTCTAGCATCCTGTAACAATTTTAATTTAATCCTTGCCTTCTTTCCCTGCCATATATATTTCAACATTGTTTTATTTAAATCCTCAAAATATTCTTTCCCCAGCTTAATTGGAATTGTCTGAAACAAATATAATATCCTTGGTAATATATTCATTTTTATTGTAGATATTCTCCCTATTAGAGATAGTTGTAAATTTGCCCATTTTTTCAAGTCTTTTGCAATCTGTTGTTTTAGTTTATAATAATTGTCTTCTTTTAGTGTTCCACATCTTGCTGTTAAATGTATTCCTAAGTATTTAACTTTATTTGTGATCTGAATATTTAGTCTCTCTGTTAATTCTTTCCTCTGTTTTTCCATCATGTTCTTAACTAAAAACTTAGTTTTGTCTTTATTTATTTTCAATCCTGCCACCTGCCCATATTCTTCAATTTTTTCTATCAATTTAGGCGCTGTTTCCAGTGGTTCCTCCAGTATGAAAACCAAATCATCTGCAAACGCTTGTGATTTATATTCTTCCTTTTTTGTCTTCATTCCCTTTATTTCACTATTGTCTCTAATGTTTCTGTTCAACACCTCCAAAGTCAGTACATACAACAGTGGCAACAGAGAACATCCTTGTCTAGTTCCTTTTTTAATGTTAATATTATCTGTTAAGTCTCCATTTATCATTACTTTAGCAGATTGCTTATGGTATATTGCCTCAATTGGTTTAATAAATCTTTCTCCAAAGCCCATTTGTTCCATTTGTAATATCATAAACTGTCAATTTACATTATCAAAGGCTTTTTGCGCATCTAAAAATGCCAAGGCCATTTGCTTCTCTGGGTATGTTTCATAATATTCCAGTGTATTCAAGATTATTCTCATATTATCTTTAATTTGCCTCTTAGGCAGAAATCCATTTTGATCAGTGTGTATAAAGTTATTCAGATATCTTTTAAGTCTTTCTGTCATTATTGAGGCAAAGATTTTGTAATCTGCGTTTAGCAGGGATATAGGTCTATAGTTTTTTATTTGTTATCAAACATGGGACTTTTGATATCACTATGTGTAAATTCCTTACTCATTGGTGTCTTAGAAGATTTACAATGCTCCATGTTACAGCGTTTTAATAATTGGCTAATCTTCTTGGCTTGTGAAATTTTGAAACCTTTATTTGTTTTCACTATATCAAGACCCAAATAATGCTTAATCTCCCTTAAATTTCTAATCCTGAACTTTTTCTGTAATCTATAAACAATATCATTTGCTTCTTGTTCAGTTTTAATTATAATTGCTATGTCATCTGTAAATAACAGTAATAGAGAAATTAAACCGTCTTTTTCTCTTTGGAACAAACAAGGATCTGCAATACCAGCTTCAAAACCTATTGAAACTAATTCCTTTACAATACATTTATTCCATTCATAACTGGATTGCTTTAGACCATAAAGACTTTTCTTTAATTTCCAATAATCAGTTTTTCCATCATCCTTTAAACCTAATGGCTTTTTCATATAGATGGTATGTTGTAAAGGTGCATGTAGATATGCAGTTTCAACATCTAGATGGTTTATTTTACATTTATTCTTAGCTGCCCAAACTAATGCTGCTCTCAATGTATTTGCTCTCAGACTAGGTGCAAACAGTTCATCATAGTCTTTATCTGACTGAGCAAATCCTTGAGCAACTAATCTTGCTTTATGGGTAATAGTCCCATCCACACCAGTCTTTATCTTATACACCCATTTGCAACCTATTGCACACTCACCTGGTGATAACTTTACATCCTCATACACCTCTAAATCCTTTAACAATTTTAACTCCCTATTCATAGCTTCCTGCCAAGCTACCTGATCCTTTGTAGGATACAGTTTTATTTCATTGAAGTTAGAAGGTTCTGTATTAACCTGACATACAATGCTTGCTTGAAATCTGTCAGGTAGACGTCTCTCCCTAGTTGACCTCCTAGGCAACTCAGTACATGTTTTTGGCATGTCCTCTTCCTTTACCTCCCCTATCAAATCCTCATCTTCTACAGTCATATAGGGTTCTTCTATTGAGGATTCCTCCATTGAGGATTCCTCCACTATCTTATCATCAATATTATTATCATTAGGATTATTGGTAAACAATGGAGTCTGAACAACAACACTATCCTGTACCTTATTATATTCCTGTTCAAGCTTTCTCCAGCCAACATGCTCCAGAAATTTAGCACTTGCACTGCAATATACATTAATAGTACCTGGCTCCCAAAATCTAAATGATCTATGATTAGCTTCATAACCAACAAAATATAATTGTCTAGCTCTATGTTGTCCCTTTTGCCTTACTTGCGTGGGAATATGAACCCATGCTGGGGTTCCAAATGTATGAAAATAACTGAGATCTGGCTTTTTTCCATTCCAACGAGTAAATGGTAATTCACCAGTCATTGAATTCACTACGTTATTCAGAACATGGTTAGCACACATTATTGCTTCACCCCAAAGTTTCTCTGATAAACCAGAATGCGAAATCATAGTCCTAGCCATAGCCTGTAATGTTTGTCCTCTACATTCAATATATGAGTTATGTTGTGGTCTATAAGGAGCAGAACGCTTATGTTCAATGCCAGCTTTCTGTAACATGGCTTCAAATTTTCTATTGGTAAATTCAGTACCATTATCTGTTACTAAGCTAATAACTTTCTGTTTCTTTTTTCCTTTTAGCAAATTTTAGCCAGTTTACAAAATGCTGGTATGTTTCTTTCTTCGTTTTCATTAAATAACAGAAACCATATCTGGAAAAATGATCAATTATACTTAATATGTAACAGGCTCCACCTAAACTAGGTTTCTTAGGTCCAATAATATCAGCAAAAACAACCTCTAATGGTTCATTGGTTTTGAATCCATTTACCTTGCTTTTTTCTTGATTGCAAACATTGCAATTTAAATACTTTGTACAAGGTTTTAATTTTATACCATTAGATAACAGTTTTCTTTAGCATTTTGAAATTTATATGTCTCATACGTCTATGGAGCAGATGAATGCATTCATCATGAGGCTTTTTATTCTCATAAACTGAGTTAGCATTAATTAATGGATTATCATGTATAATAAACAAACCATTATCCAATCTTGCAGTAAGGCTTTTACTCTGTTTTTCAATTAAACATTTATCTGCCTGAAAAGTTACAACAAATCCTGCTTTTAC